GCTGAGAACGAGGACGACAGGCCCCTGCACGTTGCTCGTGTCCTAAGGTGCTGTCTCCGTGGCTGCCATCGTGTGCGGCCGTGCGCTGGCGTCTGGCACGCGGCCCTGGACCAGGGCTGTTGTCATTGGCCGTGTGGCTCTGGGACGGTGACAGTAGATCCCCAGGTCCAGGGAGCTGCCCGGAGCCCCTCGGCCTGGAGGGTGGGAGGGGCTGCCTGTGGGGCCCTCTGTCCCAGCCCGACCCCTGCGAGGCCCTGAGGCTGGGGGAGCCACGGGGCCGCTAGCGTGTGCCCCCAGACCTCACCCGGGACACGTGTGTGGTCTAACTTAGTAACACACCTGTTGCGGGAACGAAAGCACTTGTGCCGGGGCTATTTTCGGCGTCTCTTTAGCAAGTGCTGAGACCGCCCGCGGGAGGGAGTCGGGCAGCAAGCGGTGAGCAGGCCGCGGCAGGACCCGGGCGCCCAGGGCGAGGCTGGTAAGCGGGCCGCAGGGAGGCCGGGGGCTGGCGGTGGCGGCACGGACGGCGGCGTGGCTTAGAAGCCACTGGAGGGTCCAGACCCCTGGTGACCGTCCAGGTTGGCCTTGAGAGGCGAGCCTCCTCCTACGGGGACATCTCCCGTGGTGACAGGCCACCTCCCGGCCTGGCCGGGTGACAGTGAGTGGCCGTCCTCCGTGTTGACCGGGCGCATGTGTCAGTGTCCACGGTGGGGTCGGCCGGAGCTCGCCAGTGAGGGGAAGATAGTGCCACGGGGGGTCCTCTGGGCAGAGCCTTAGACGGGAGGGACTGGGGCCACCGTCCACCCCGACGCGAGGGGAGCTGGAGAGCGTGGCACCCGCTGGGCCATCGTGGCTGCGCGTCCGTCCTGAGCCCCAGGAGCTTCCAGGATCGTTTGGACCAGGGGCGGCAAACAGGTTTCCATTTGCACGTGCGTCTCCCGGGGTAGCTGTGTTGAGAAGGATTCAGAGCCCCGGTAGCCCCTGGGTTCCAGTCCTTTAGCCTGTCCGTCAGGGGAGGCAGCTCACACGCTCAAGTTTTGCGCCGTCCCCACCTGCGACGGGGTTTTCTAGAATCCTGCGCGGTGGGGGGCGCTTGTTACCGGGCAGAACCACCACATCCGCACGTAAAACCAACCAGGCGTCTCGGCACTGGGGAGATAATCCAGGGAGGTGTGCGGCAGGACGGGCTCCCTGGGGCCCCCGTGGAACTCAGGGTGGGTGGAGGGACACTTGCAAATGAGGAAACTGAGGCCAGGCCTGAGTCCAACCCACACGGCACTTCTGGGCCTGGCGGCAGGACCCTGCTCCGCACCTGGGCGGCCTCCCCGGGCCCTCGAGGGCAGCCTGCGTCTGGCTCAGTGTCCTCTCGGCCTGGGGCATCTGAGGGGCTCTGCGGGGCCTGAGCCGTGCGGCCCCCTTGCTGTCCCGGCCTCTGCCTTGCGGCGGTGACAGCACGGCCCGCGGGGGAGGAAGGCCGGCCGGGGCCCTGCCCCACCCCCGCCACCGTGGACGTCCGAGCTCGGGTCCTGCTGCACCTGGTGCCCAAGACCCCACCAGTGGTCGCTCGGCCTGTGGGGTGGCCACGGCGGGAGGGCATCTCTCAGAGCCAGGCCACCCTGCTGCGCCTTCTCCCGCTTGGTGGGGGCGTGTGATGACGGCAGGTCTGCGCGCGTGCAGGGTGCGCCGGTGGGCCCTGGACGCGGAGCATGACAGCCTCTGGGAGGGTGGAGCCGGGGGACGTTGGTGCCGCCGCAATCGCGCCTGAGGGTCAGGGCAGGAGGGCGCCCGGTGGAGGTGGGGGCCGGTTCGGGAGCCCACGGTGGGGTCCCCCGGGCCTGCGGTGGGGGCAGAAGTGACTGGGCCCAGTGAGAGCCGCAGCTGGGGAGGCCGGTCAGCAGCGGTGACCCCCGGGATGGGCAGCGCAGGCCTGGCCTGGGCACCAGGCCCCCCGGAGCGGGCGAGTGAGCCACTTCCCGGGTGTCCCCGACACAGGCCGCGGCCGCAGGTGCCAGGACGTGGCTGGAGCCCCGGAGGAGCTGGGCCCGAGGGGGCGGGTGGCTCTGAGCACCTGCGCTGCCGCGAGGGCGGGGACCGGCGCCGTGCAGACCCGCCGGACAGGGAGGGGCCGGGCAGGGTGCGCGTGCGGGTGGAGAGGGGTGCGTGGAGTCAGGACGTGGAGGGCCGGTTCCGGGAGCAGCGTGCGGCGGGCGTGTCCGTGTGCAGGAGGGCGCAGGCCGGCTGGGCCAGGTGCGCTGGGCCTCCCAGAGACGTCCAGTCCCCCTCCCCCCACCAAGGGCCCTGAGAGCCCTGTGACCTCTGACCTATCTGCAGACGCTCCTGGGGCCGGGACGTGGGGTGCAGGCGGCCGGGTCACCAGACGGCTGTCCTGGGCTCCCTGCCACAGGTGTGGCCTTGGCCTGTGTCACCCAAGGTGGAGGGCCGAGGACCTGTCCCAAGACTCCACGGTGGCCTCAGGCGTCGGCCAGGGCCAGGCAGGCGCGTCTCCGTGGCGACAGGGCGGCCCCTGCAGCCTGACCGTCAGCTGTCCCTCAGGTCACCTGCGTGTCCTCAGCTCGCACTGCCGGGGCCTGTGTGCGCAGGCGTCTGTGTGTCCTTGGGTGTCCCAGCCCCGCTGCTGCTCTCGGAGCCCCTCAGCCGCTGCTCCGGGCTGGGGAGGTCCCTGGGGGCGTTGCCTGGGGCTGTCGTGGCAGAGGTGACGGTCACCAGCCTTGTGGGGATGAACAGCTTCTTTCCCGAGTCCCTCCAGCCCCGGAAGGGGAGGCGCGAGGCCAATCTTGGGGTGCGGGGACGGAAGGGCCTGACCTTGGCCCAGAGCATGGCCAGGAGGCCACACTCAGAGCCAGGTCACCCCACAGCCACCGCCAGTGCGCGGGTCCCGGGGCGAGGGCGTCCCCTCCCTATGTGCCGGTGCCCCTCCTAGCATGGCCACGAGGACAGACGGGTGACACGCCCCAGGCACGGGGCACAGCGGCCCCGCGAGGGCCTAGGACCCCGCCGTCACCCTCGTCACTGCGGTCCCGTCTCATTGTCATCGTTGCTGTTGACGCTGTGGCCACCTTGGTCACCGTGGCCGTCGCTGTCGTCCTCGTTGCTGTCACGGCACTGCCAGCACTGTCACCCGCGGCCTTGACACTTTGCCCTGTCTCGTCACCGCTGTCACCGCCGCGGACATTTCGGTCATGTCCCCGTGTCCGGGCCTCGCGCTCACGCCGCCTTCCCTCCCGCAGTGATGAACGGCAGCGGCCACTCGCCGACCGCCGTCAGCGGGGCCCCGTCCACGCCCAGCGGCTTCAGCGATGGCCCGGCCTCCTCCTGCACGGCCGCCCTGTCCACGCAGCACCTGCCCCCGGCCTGCGGCGCGCGGCAGCTCAGCAAGCTCAAGCGCTTCCTCACCACGCTGCAGCAGTTCGGCAGCGACATCTCCCCGGAGATCGGGGAGCGCGTGCGCACGCTGGTGCTGGGCCTGGTGGTGAGTTGGGCGGGGACTCGTGGGTTCCCGGAGGACGGCCACACTCGAGCGGGCTGCGTGCCGGTGGGGAGGGGGACTCACTCTCGCGCTGACCGGCGCCCTCCGGGGGCCGCCCCCGGCTCTCAGGCCACCGCCCACCCCCGCGCGGTCCCCAGGATGGTGCTGACAGGAGGCGGGTCTTCTCCCCAGAACTCAACGCTGACCATCGAGGAGTTCCATTCCAAGCTCCAGGAGGCCACCAACTTCCCGCTGCGGCCGTTTGTCATTCCCTTCCTGAAGGTAATGGCGGAACCCCCGGTTGGTTCTATTATTATCGTGCGACGCGCCAGGTACCGTGAGGCTCAGGGACGCAAACGTGAGCAGGCAAAGCGCCTCCCGGAGCCAGCGTGGAGGTGGGGGGAAGGTGACCAGTGGGCAAGCTCTGCGGAAGCTGGAGATGCGTGACGTGCAGAGAAACATTCCCCAAGGCCTGCGGGGTGGGCATGTTGGTGGGGGCAGAAGAGCATGAGGGAGGGAGCTGGTGGGCAGTGGCACAGAGGCCTCCAGGCAGCAGGAACAGCACGTGCAAAGGCCCTGAGGCAGGAGCTGCCCACTGTGAGCAGCAGCGAGGCGGCCAGTGTAGCTGGAATGGAGAGAGGCGGAGAGGGCGGGAGGCTGCGCACAGGCAACAGGCAGATGGGTAAGCTGGGTGCGTGGTGGGCATGAAGTGTCAGAGAAGTGGGTGGTGCAGTCCAGCTCGGAGGATGAGCCGTGGGCGGTGGCGGTGGTGCCTGCACACTCAGGAGGGCCGGCTCTGGGCCCAGCCCACACCCACCGAGGTGGAGTCTGCACTTGAAAAGGTGCCGGTGATTCGCGTGCAAAGGTGGGACGGGCACAGGCAGAGTCCGGCCAGCGTGGTCCCTGCGCCCCCCACTCCCGCACGACGGCGGCGTGTCTCTGAGGGATGAGGGTGAAGCGTTCGCACGTGTATTTGGCCACGTGGCCCTACCGTGCCGAGCTCCTCCCGCGGTGAGGTCCACAGAGCTTAGCCGGGAGGAGCTGGCCCGGCCGCCCCAGGGCCGCACGGAGCACCGAGGCCTCCCGCAGCCCTGGGTCGGGGGCAGCCAGGCCCCTTGAGGACAAACCACACCAGTCACTCCCGGTGCGGGCCTGCCCCTGCCACTCGGCAGCCACGGGCCAGGGCCACGCAAGTCCTCTGTGCCTCGGTGTCCGCAGCTGCAACATGGGGACCCCTCTCAGCTCGCGGGAGGTCTGCGCGAGGGACGAGTGTTCGCGCTCGGCACGTTCGGTGCACGTCGGGCATCGTCGACATCAGGGCTCTGAGTGTCCCTTAGGGCAGGAAGGTTCCGGAAAGCTCCTGGGCACCTCCTGGACCCCGCGAAGGGGGCGGCAAAGCCACCACCGCTGTTCCCGACGAGCGGGCGGGAGACTGAGGCCCGGAGCGGGGCTCGCACCTTGTCTGTCCCACTCCGGAGCCCACGGCCTCGGCAGGGCCCCGCCGGTCCCCGACCCCTCCAGTCCCTCACCAGGGGGAATCCGTGTCACACCCATGGCCCTCCCTCCTGCCGCGCCCCGCCGCGCTCGCTCCTGAGCTGGCCACGGAGGAGGAGCCGGAGGCTGCGTCCTGACGCCCTTTGCAGTTTGTCAGCGGCCGTCCCCTTGTCCCTTGATCCTCTTTAACTTCCTGCCGACTCCCCGCCGCCCGTCTTGGGGACGCAGCGCCTGCCTGTGCTGTCGGGTCGGACGTTTGCACCGACGCCCTGGTTTACCGAGGAGCGCGGAGACGTCTCGGTGCCTTCTGCGTCTCCCCGCCAGGCCCCGGGGACCCGCAGCCACACCCCAGCATGGTGCCACCCACCCCACAGCGGGCGCAAGGCAGGATACCCCCGGCCCAGCACTGCTCTGTGTAGGGTCCTCTCTGCCTCAGTTTCCCCTCTGCACACAGCTCTCGTGAGGCTATGCAGGCCAGCTGGTGGCTGGACACGCGGCCGGCAGGTCGTCAGAGACATGAGGCCTCTCAGTCTCCCTGACCTGGAGCTTCTGGGGCAAAGCGGGAGGGTCAAAAATAAAAATAAAAAACATCGTGGCCAGTCCTGTGACCAGGTGCTGGCCCGAGCCCTGGCCCTGCGGTCCCCACAGGGGAGCAGCTCCCACCCCACCTGTGGCCGCCGCCGCTTTAAACTCAGCGGTGGGGGGGGGGGGCCAGCCTTACGGGGCTGGACACAGGCCTGGCGACCCCCTCGGCCGCCTCTGAGGGTTCCTGTCTGTGGCCTGGACGTGGGAGTGGCTCCTTCCCGAACGTTCACAACCCCCGGGCCGGCGGGGGGGCCCCTTGGGGGCGGGCTTCGGGGCCTTGTTCTTGGAAAGGGCGGGACTTGGGGTTGGGGGTGCGGCCGGGGGCCTTGCCGGGTTCCGGCCTTGGTTCGGCGTTGGTTTCCCCTTGGGTTGGGTTGGGGCGGCCCCCCCCGGGTTTTGGGAAGGGGTTGGTTCACCCCCCGGGGGCCGGCGGGTTTTCCGCGGTTGTTTTCCGGTTGGGGCGGGTTCGGGGGGTTCAGGTGGGTTTCCCAGGGCCCCCCGGCCCTTGGTTGTTGAGGTTGGTTGGGCCTTTTGCGGGGGCCCCGGTCGGGCGGGTTTTGGGGGCGGGGTTTGGGGCGGCGGAACGTTCCCAACCCCCCTTGGTTCACTTGTTTTGTTTTTTTTTTTTTTGCAAATATTAACTTCCTTTGGCTTGAGGTCCCGTCTGTGAAGAGGGCAGTGTCAGATGGTGGCGTTGGGTCCAGGAGTATTTTGTGACCAGCTCAGTTTGTCCAGCATTTTCCTGGTGACGCTCCTGGGGTGTGCTGGGCTCCTGGGGACAGAGGGAGTGGCTGCCTCCGAGGTGGCTTTGAGGTCAGGCTCCCACAGTCCCCACCGCTCTCTGTGCTGGGGGAGCCCCCAGCGGGGGGCCACACACTGGGGTCCCTGCAGCCTCTCCTGAGCCTGCCCCGGGCACGGCAGACGCTGGGAGGAGCCGCCCACCCCGCCAGCCCTCCACCCACGCCCCGGCTCCCAGCTGGCCCGAGCCGGCCAGGAATCCAGATGTTTCCACTGCCCTGACAGCGACCAGGGATGCCTGCCTGGCCAAGGGGGGGCCCCGGGGAGGGGAGATGTCTGGCTCCACAGGCCTCTGGGGACCTCCGTCCCAGCTCACGCCCTTAACGTGCCCAACAGATGGCGGGTGGCCCGCGTTCAGCTGCCCAAATAGAAAACAGGCCGCCGCGCTCCGGCTGCCGCTGGGCCCCAGTGGCTGCGCTCACGGTGGCTGGGGAGGGTTGGCAGGAGGAGGCTGCCGTGGCAGCTTGGAGACGCATGAGAACGTTGGGGACTGTATTTATTTACAAATGCTTGGAACCGCTGGCTCCCGCAGGCGGCCCGCCACCGGGCCCGCGGCCAGCGCGCTCAGGGCCGCCTGCCTTGCGTGGCTCTGGGAAGACTTTACGGAGGGCACGTGAGGAGCCCGGCGGTGCACGCGGGAGGCGGGTGGGCACAGGGTGTCGGAGCCGGGGTCCGAATGCGGGTCCTGTGGGCCGGGCAGTCATTCAGCCCCGTGCTGTGGGCCCATCCCCCAAACACAGCCAAGTCGCAGCGGCGTCGCCGGTGGTAACGTCCGTTTGTGCTGACCCTCACGGCCCAGAGCCCAGCTTCCTGCAGGGCTGAGGCTGGGAACCAGCAGGGCGTGGACGGGCGGGGCTCACTCCGTGGGGTCCCCTCGGTGCACGTCGGGGTCCAGAACTGAGGCCCTGCAAGCGGCCACCCTGGGGTTCGTTAGCTGTGTGCCCAGGGCTGGCTGCTGCCCCTCTCTGAGCCCCAGTGTCCTCCTCTGTGGCCTGGATGGCGTGGTGCCCACCACTAACTAGCACCTTCCCCACGATGTACCACGGGAGGGACTTGGTGACGTGGAAAAGCCCCCACCAGGGAGACCGGAGTCTGGGCCTGGGTCCCCTGCACCCCAGATCGCTGTGGGCCCTGGCAGGACGCCGTCCTGCCTGGCCCTGCTGCCGCCCTCCCGCAGCGCCGTGAGGAGGGTCAGGCTCAAGGAGCGGGGGTCAGAGAGTTCGTGCCACCTTTGCAGAGTCACACAGAGGCAAGGCTGGGACTTGAACCTTGCCCGCCGTCCAAGCCTCCCCCCTGCCCCCGCAGGCAAACCTGCCCCTTCTGCAGCGGGAGCTCCTGCACTGTGCCCGTCTGGCCAAGCAGACCCCCGCCCAGTACCTGGCCCAGCACGAGCAGCTGCTGCTGGACGCCAGCGCCTGCTCCCCCACCGACTCCTCCGACCTCCTGCTGGACGTCAACGAGAACGGCAAGAGGAGGACACCTGACAGGTACCTGGGGAGAACCACCCCGGGGCCAGCGCTCGCCAGGCAGGCCTGTCCCGGGCTGAGGGAACATGGGTCGAGACCGTCCTGCGTCCCAGGCAGGCGAGCTGAGGGGCTGGGGAGGGGCCGCCACCCAGGCCAGTGCGTCCGTGGCCTCCCGTGGGCCGTGGACCCGCTGCCCCGGGGCCCCAGGCGGGGAGTCTGTCCGGCGGAGACGCCCTCTGTGCTGGACGTAGACATCCAGGAGTCCGAGGTCCCCAGGCGGGGCCCTCTGTGTGGGCCACAAACGTGCTGTCCCTACTCTCCAGGGGGTGGACGGACGTCTCCTGCCGCCCAGTCCTGCCGCAGGAGGTCAGGCCCGGGAGCAGGAGGGGCGGCTGGGCTGGGCGCCGGGAGCTGGTCTAATCCTCTGTGTCTCTCTCCCCTCACGCCCCCTTTCTGCCCACGCCTGTCTCCCCTCGCCCCAACGCCTGGGCTCCGTTGGACTTATCCCGTAACCACTGCCCCGCCCCCACCTGCTCTTTGCCGCAGGACCAAAGAGAACGGGTCGGACCGTGACCCGCTGCTCCCCGAACACCTCAGCAAGCGGCCCTGCACCCTGAGCCCCGCCCAGCGCTACAGCCCCAGCAACGGGCTGCCCCACCCCACGCCGCCCCCGCACTACCGCCTGGAGGACATGGCTGTGGCCCACCACTTCCGAGACCCCTACCGGCCCCCCGACCCCCGGGAGCTGCGGGAGCGACATCGGCACCTCGGTGAGCAGAGTGCCAGGGACGGGACACGTATGTGTTAGCAGGAACATGTGTGTGCGCCTGAGCTTGTGTACGCGGGGGCATGGCCAGCAGCTGTGTGCACCTAAACCGGGAGACGCCCTGCCGCTGCCACCTGGCCTTGTCTGTCCAGGAAGGACACCGAGGGCGGGGAGGGAGCCCGCCTGGCTGGGCCGTGTCCGGGAGCCTCTGTCTTGGGGGCAGCCTGACCTCCCGCCTCGCACCCCTCGGGGCCAGGAGTTCCCCCAGGGACTGACCAGGCTGTGGCCACGGAGGGGTCGTCCTGGGGCCCCGGCACCCACCTCTCCCCCAGGCGGGTGGCCGTGGGCCTGGAGCTGACCACTGGGTTCCCGTCCGAGCTTGACGATTCTCCACACCCTGGGGTGTGTCACATGGCCCTCCGTGCCTCAGTTTGCTCCTCTGCCATCTGATCGACGGGGGTAGTTAGTGCGGGGTGGCGACAGTGCTCCGTGAGGCCCAGCTGTGGTCAGTGAGAGAGAGGACATCTCGGGGCAGGGCACCCACCACCCGGCTCCCCTGCATCCTTCACTCTGTCCCCAGAGCCGGGGGCAAGGTGCCAGCCAGCACTGCCGGACGCTGAGGCCCAGCGAGTGCGGGTCACCTGCCCAGAGCTCTTAGCCACGTCTGCCTGACCTTCCACCCCTCCCCTCTGCGGGGACCAAGGGATGGTCAGGCCTGGGACCCCCAGCGTGGAGACCGGGAGGCAGAGCCTGGAGGCCGCCCATGGGGAGCCGGCGGCGGCAGGGTCAGCAGAGGCCTCGCCCTGAACAAGCCGGTCTCCCCACCCCCACCCTGCGGAAGCTTCCAGGGCCCGGGCCCAGGCAGCAGGTGACGGCGTCTGGCTCGCTGCAGCCAGGGTCAGGCAGGTGATAATTCCCACCCGCTTCTGCTAATGCAAAAATAAACGCCAGCTGTCGGGCAGGCCTCAGCCGCCACTGTGGTTGGGGCATTGGTGCAGGCTGCAGCGCTGCAGGCGGCAGGGCAGGGTGGTGGACACGAGCTGTGGCCGCCACCTCCCTCCCCCTCTGCAATGTGGGGGAGCCATTTGGGGTCTGGGGGCTAGGAGACCTTTAGGGGCTTAAGAAGTCCTGACAGAGACCTGAGCCCCCAGGAAACACCAGTGCTGGGTCACCAGACGGGGCGGGGGCTGGGAACATTGGGCGTTTCCGAGAAGCATAGGTAGGAGCCGTCATCTTGGGCGTGGGGATGCGGCTGGAGGTCTCCTGCAGCCCGGTTTCTGGTTACCTGGGGGTGCCCCCCCCCTTCCAGTTCCTGGGGCCTGTTAAAACGAAAACCTTAGATAACTCAAGTTCAACAGAATTTAACTGAGCTGAGAACTCTGGGATCGGGCCCAGAGCAGGCTCTGAGAGCAGCGTGGGGGCAGCTGACCGGGCCGGCTCGGCGTCTGCGAGTTTGAGTCCGCTGCCGGCAGCCACACGAGTGACGGTTCCGAGAGCGAGCGTCCTCCCGGCAGGCCGTCAGTGAGCTCCACGCTAGTCAGGGCGCAGTTCCTTACGTAAGGGCTCCACGCGGAGCCACCCGAGGCCAAGTCTAGGGTGGCTGGACCAGTGTCACCGGCCTGGGCTGAGGACAGCTCCAGCCGGAGCCGGCCTGGGCCCACACCTGCCTCCATCACTCCCCGCACGGTGACCCTGGGCAAATGGGTCCCCCAACCCGCCGCGTTCTCCGGTCTGTGAAAGGGAAAAAGGGAACGGGATGGAACTTCCCGCGGGCTGTCGCGGGATGAGCAGCTGAAGCAGTCAGCGTGGGGCGCGGGCTCAGTAACTCACAGGTGTCCTCCAAGTGCCCTAAATCAGCCTGGGCTCTTCCCCAACACACTTCCTGAGTCTTCCCACACCCACAGGAAGTAGGCAGGGCGGGGAAACTGAGGCACGGAGCCATGAGATGAGAGCCCAGGGACCCCTGGGGAATGAGTGTCTGTCCCTACTCTGGCTCTGAGCCCACTGTGGAGCTGGAGGTGTGGCCCAGGGACTGCTGTGGCCTGGGAGAGCAGGGCGGAGCTTGGGGTGTGGGCAGGGCCTGAGAGAATAGGGTGGAGCCTGGGCATATGGGTGGGGCCTGGGAGAATAGGGTGGAGCCTGGGTGTGGGTGGGGCCTGGGAATAGGGTGGAGAGCCTGGGTGTGGGTGGGGCCTGTGGGGGGGCCTGGGAGAACAAGGTGGAGCCTGGGGCATGAGTAGGGCCTGGGAGAATAGGGTGGAGCCTGAAGTGTGGGTGGGGCCTGGGAATAGGGTGGAGCCTGGGTGTGGGTGGGGCCTGTGAGGGGGCCTGTGAGAACAAGGCAGAGCCTGGGGTGGGCAGGGTCTGAGAATAGGGTGGGGCTTGGTTGTATGGGTGGGACCTGTGGGTGGGTGGGGCCTGAGAGAAAAGGGTGGAGCCTAGAGCATGGGGGGTGCTGGGAGAACAGGGTGGAGCCTGGGCAAACATGGCGGATCCTGGAGTGTGGGTGGGGCCTGCGAGCAGGGCAGAGCCTGGGGTGTGGGCGGGACTTGGGAGAATATGGTGGAGCCTGGGTGTGGGCAGGGCCTGAGAGAACAGGGTGGGGCTTGGGTGTATGGGTGGGGCCTGTGGGGCCTGAGAGAACAGGGCAGAGCCTGGAGCATGGGGGGGGGCTTTAGGAGGGGCCTGGGAAAATGGGGCGGAGCCTGGGTGTGTGGGTGGAGCCTGGACAAACATGGCGGATCCTGGGGTGTGGGCAAGGAGAACAGGGCAGAGTCTGGGGTGGGCGGGGCATGGGCGGGGCCTAAACGCACGCCTGCCCCTCCTACAGCAGTTCCCGGGTCCCGGCAGGAGGAAGTGATCGACCACAGGCTCACAGAGCGCGAGTGGGCAGAAGAGTGGAAGCACCTCAACAACGTGAGTGTCTAGGCAGGAGCCTGGGGGCCACAGCTGCTCCCAGGAGCTCTGCCCCACCGTGGAGCCTGGGACTGCTGGGGGCTGCAGGGCCGCGTGGAGGCTCCCCCAGGCTCAGCTCCACCTGTCTGGCGTGCCCCGCACCTTCCTGCCACCTGCCCTTCACCTGGGCCCCAGCTTTCGCGAGGCCTGTGCAAGGCATTGTGGGGAGAGCAGGAAGCAGGCCCAGCCTCCCTGCATGGCACTTCTGCTCAGTGGCTCTTCCCGGAGCGAGCGGTTTGGGGACAAGCAGTTCTGGGGCCTCTTCGCGGCAGGGCACCGGAGCCCCTGGCTTGGGGATGGGTGGGCTGCGTCCTGAGGTGCCCCTGCCCTCGTGGGCGCTGGGCTGGCCGGGCCTGCAGTACAGGCGTGCGCGTGGCTGCTCCTGGGCCTCCCGAGGTGCTGAAGGCCGGCCCGCCTGCCCGCAGCTCCTGAACTGCATCATGGACATGGTGGAGAAGACGCGGCGGTCGCTCACGGTGCTGCGCCGGTGCCAGGAGGCCGACCGCGAGGAGCTCAACCACTGGGTCCGGCGCTACAGCGACGCGGAGGACGTGAAGAAGGGCCCCGCACTCGCTGCCGCCCGGCCCCTCAGCAGCTCCGCCGGCCCCGAAGGGTCTCAGCTAGGTGAGCACCGAGCACGGGCGAGGGCAGGGGTGGGGGTGCCCTGCACAGGTGCCTGGGCAGGGGCCGACACCTTGCTAAACACCACCTGGCCTGCTAGGCAGCCCAGAGCTCAGGGATCTGGGGTCAGAGGCTCAGAGCTGGGGGCCCCCGAGCGTCTGTGTTCATCCACCTCGACGATGAGAAAACAAAAGGAGCCCGGGACACGCCCGGCTCCCAGCCCGAGTCCAAGTCCGCGGGCTCCAGAGGGTCCCCCTGCCTGAGCACTGTCCTGCCCACCTCGGAGACAGATGCAGTCTCTCCACCCGGGCCACCTGGTGCCCCTCCCCCAGGCAAGCACACACGCCCACCCTCAGGACGTGAAGGGGGCAGCCAGCTGGCCCGTCCTGTACGTGACGCTGGCCCCCCGTGTTTCAGATGTCCACCGGGACTTCGTGCCTAGGACCCTCTCTGGCTACATGCCTGAGGACATCTGGAGGAAGGCCGGTGAGTGGGGACAGCCCAGGGGAGCAGAGCTGGGGGGCCAGGACCCCCGACACCCCTCGCCAGCTCAGCCTGCCAGGAGCTTCCATCTGCACTTGGGGCTCCGCTGGGCTCCTGGCACAGGGCAGAGCTCACAGGGTTTTGGACATCCTTCTGGGAAGGCTCGCAGAAGGGGTCAGAGCAGCACTTACTATTCGGGACTGGGCAGCTGTGACCGGCATCTGCCAAGAAATGAACGAGGGGGCATGCCACTCGGCAGACATGGCGTCCTTGCCAGCATGCACAGGAGGGCACACAGAGGCGCACACACCCTTGGACCTGAGCTGGCCAGGGGTTTAGGGCTGGGGTCCACGCAGCCTTTAGGGCAGAACGTTGAGCTCTGGTGCCAGGAGAAGGCTGTGGGGACATTCGCTTACACGGTGGGGACCAGGATTGGGGAAGGGGCTGGGGCCCAGTAGGATCTGTGGGCAGCAAGGGGGATGGGCACTCATGTGGGGCTCGTGGTGGAGAGAGGAGGTGGGACCCAGATAGGCTGCCATCTGCGGGTGGATTCAGCGCCAGGTGTGAGGAAGGGACAGGAGAACTTCAGAGTCTCAAAAGCAGTGTGTGGAGGGTCCCACCTGGAGGGGGGGGCGGGGCTTGCAGACAGCCTGAGGCTGGGCGTGGGGTGGGGACAGGCCTGGACGCAAGGGCAGGGTCCTCACTTGCCTGGCCTGTCCCCTTCCTTCCGTGTGGCCCTGTGGCAGGGCCCTGCGGGACCCCTGCTGACATCCACCGGGAGCCTGGATAGTGACTTTGGGCCAGTGTCTGTCAGCTGCCGCCAGGTCCTGGGGCTGCAGCCAGCCCTGCCGGTGGCTCCGCACGGGCCCGTGAGTAAACGCCCCGAGGGGAGGCCCAGGGGCTGTCTCCCCCCTTGAATAGGACCCTGTCTAATCCCACCCCAGCCCTGGGGCAGATTCTCACACCACACTGTAAGGACAGTGCAAATAGGTAAACCGAGGCAGGCCTAAAGGCTCTGGGGGTAGTTTAGCCAGGGCTCACAGGCTGGGGTGTCGTTTGCAATGTTGGAGGGCACAGTCCAGTCAGAGTGGACACTGGGCGGAGTCGGTCTCAGCCCTGACTCCCGCTCTCAGCGGGGCTGGGTAGGGGCTGCGCATGCCCAGGGGACCACGGAGTCCCCACCGCCAGTGGGGGACGACAGCTGGCCTCTCCCGCGCCGAGGGAGGGCCCCTCTCAGGCCAGATCAGAGCCACCAGACGCGGCAGGAGCGCAGCCTTGCCAGGCTGACCAGGCGACGGCACAGTGCGGTGGAGATAACGCGGCGGGCCCCGGACAACCGCGCAGAGCTGGGGCGGGGCTCCTGGCTGCATCTGGGAGAGGCGGGGTGAAGGCAGGGCCACGGCGCTCAGGGTGGGGCCGGGGACCAACAGCAGCCTAGCCTGGAACCGGTTAGGAACGCGGTTCTCGGAACTCCCCAGGCCTGCAAGTCCCGCTCTGCGGTGGGCCAGGCCCTCGCCCTCCGGGGGCGCCAGCACACGCCAGCGCTTGGGAACTTCAGTGGAGAGCGAGCTTTGGAAGTGTCATCGCGTGCTGCTGCTGCACACATGTGCCTGGGATGTGTGCACATGCTTGTCTGCACAGGCATAAGGTCACTGGCGTGTACCTGCGTGTGCACACGGCCCCTTCCTGTAGGTTGTGGCTGGGGAGGCCCATGTGCCTGTCTGGGCCAGCCCGTGTGACCACTGATGTCCCCGCAGAGGAGGCAGTGAACGAGGTCAAGCGGCAGGCCATGTCGGAGCTGCAGAAGGCCGTGTCAGACGCGGAGCGCAAGGCCCACGAGCTCATCTCCACAGAGCGCGCCAAGATGGAGCGGGCCCTGGCCGAGGCCAGGCGGCAGGCCTCCGAGGACGCCCTGACCGTGGTCAACCAGCAGGAGGACTCCAGTGAGGTAGGGCCGCCGGCCGCTCCTGCACCGCCCCCACCCAGCATCCAGCGCAGCCCAGGGTCACCCTGGGGAGCTCTCTGAGCTCTCTGTCATTGTGGTTGCCGGGAGTGCTACGCAGCAAGCACACCGTCCCTGCCGCCCAGAGACCCCGCACGGCCTGGTGCAGTGTCCCGGGGGGTGTCCCTGTCCTGCAGATGCAGAAACTGAGGGCTCGGGAGGGTCAGCGGCTTGTGGGAGGTCACAGCCTTGGAAGCGGCAGGGCCGTTACTCGACCCCAGGGCGGCTGGCGCTGAAACCCAGGTCCTTCCCTGACCTGTGAAAGCAGGGGGCCCAGGGCCATCGTGGGGACTCGGGGCTCCCAAAGCGCCCGGCCCACTCCTTGCACGCACGAGCGGGACAGGCACGAGGGGCGTCATCCTGCTTGTGCCGGGGCGTCCGGGGGGCCGGGCTCCGTCCAGCAGGGCGGGCGCGGGACCCTCTGCAACCCAAGAAGAACTGGGATGGCCGAGAAGTTGGGAGAGGGAGATCCCCATCCGGGGAAGTCCCAGGAGCGTCCCCTGAGAAGCGGAGACCTCCAACGCCCCACGCGCGTCCGCGCCCGAGCAGGCCGGGAGAGTGTGGAGGAGGTGGGGCCCCGTCAGTCACGGTCCCTGCGCCAGCTCTTTCGACAAATGCTTTCAGCTCTGGAGAAACAGTCTGGAGCAGAAAAGACGGAAATGCCGTGGAGCTGGCATTTGAGTAGGAGGAGGAGAAAGGACAGGCAGCGTGTCAGGAGGAGGGAACGTGGGGAGGGAGGGCCTCGCCGGCAGGGGACTCCTGGACAGGAGGTGAGCCGGCAGGTGTCTGGGGAGCAGGCCCCGCGGAGGGGCCGCCAAGGAGGCCGGAGTGGCTGCAGCGGCCGGAGCCGGGCGAGAGCAGGAGGTGCTGGTCCCAGAGGCTTTGGGGGCGAACCAGGGACTTGGTCTTTCACTCCTGGGCTGGGTTTGGGCCCCTCCGTCCCCCAGCATCCCCCACCCGGCCAGGAGGGGACAGGCTGTTAGGCTCCAGCCAGCCGCGTGCCTTGGCTGTGCGCAGGGACCCTGGGCGCCTTCTGCTCACACGGCGACCGCTCACCCCGCCGATAGGGGCGGAGGACGGCGTCTCAGCGGCCTGGGCTCTGCCAGGCCCGCCCCCTCCCAAATTGGGGGCCCTGGTGAGCTCAGGAGGGCTTCCCGGAAGGGAGGAAAGGCCGGGGTCCAGCCAGCACGCAGCGAACCCGCCTGGGCAGCTGGAGTCCCGAGTGCGGGCGTGGGAGGCCGCCCCTCAGACATGGCCCAGCGAGCAGATGTGTCTCGGGAGTGGCCCCGGCCCGTGGCCCTGGCGGTCTTTCTCGTCTCGCCGGGGGACAGCGGGGCTGGGTCCGAGTGGCTTTGTCTGGGGGGCATTTTGGGGATTTGGCCAGCCCTGGCCCACCCCTGACCATCCCCCTGCCCCCTGCAGAGCTGCTGGAACTGCGGGCGCAAGGCCAGCGAGACGTGCAGCGGCTGCAACGCGGCGCGCTACTGCGGCTCCTTCTGCCAGCACAAGGACTGGGAGAAGCACCACCACGTGTGCGGCCAGAGCCTGCAGGGCCCCGGGGCCGTGGTGGCCGACCCGGTGCCTGGACAGCCCGACGCCACCACCGGCCTGGACCCCTCCCTGCCTGTGGGGGCCGCCAGCCCCAGCGAGGCCGGCTCTGCGGGGACCTCCCGCCCCGGCTCCCCCGGCCCGCTGGACGCCGTGCCCCGCTGACCCCTGCCGGACACAGCACCCGCCAAGCCTGCCCAGCCCAGCCTGCTGGACGCTGCACCCCGCCTGGCCCCGGGGAGCCGGCGGGTTGGAGTCACTGCTGCTACTGCCTCTCTCCAAAAGAAGACACAGAACCAACAAAACCTGCGTTCAATGCAACTTCTCAGCTACCTGACGGCTCTCGCGACGACCTCCTGACAGCCTCTCTCTTCGCAAGCACCCTCGGAACCTCCGACTGAGCTTTAGACGGCGGAGCGGGTGCCGCAGGCGTGACGGCTCTGCGCACGCGCTCGCGCCCCGTCTCTCTTGTTTTCCTACGTGACTTTCACGTGTTTTCTCTTGAATGAAAAAAATCTAACGGGTGGCTTATATTTTCAGCGAAGAGTTTTTTGGCGTTTTGTTGGCAAAAGAGCTACTTGGATAAACGGACAAAGAAACCTGTGGGGTCCCCCTTCCCGATTAAAAGGGGAAAAAGAAAACTGTTATTTTATAGCCGGAGACCTGGACGCCGCTGCGCCCCCAAACCTCCCCGGGGCGCGTGGCGGACGCAGTGAAGACGGTAAGAAAGATGGCGGTTTCCGACTCAAGAAGCATTTTTGGTTTCAGATTTTCTTTTTCCTTTAAGGTTAAACTCTTTGGCTTTAAGTAAAAATCCAAAAAGTTTTTTAAAATGAAGCAAAGGAAGCACAGCTGTAACTACCTTGCTAGCTAGCCACCCAAGGATGCCGGACTCACCTCGCTGCAAAGGAAACCCAAAAAGCAAACACAGGAAGCCGAGATCCAAAACGTCTCCGTCACTGCCAAAGCATTTTTCTCACTGTTTCCCTGCTCCCTTGGGTTCGTTTGGATGTTGGTCTTTTTCTTTTACTTTTGTTTCGATTTTGCCTGTGGGGTGTTGGGATATTGGAGTCTGGAGGGTTCGTACCCGACAAGAAGCAACTTTCGTTTCCTCGTGGCAATTTGGCCACGTGTCCACGTGTGGGGGGGGAGCCCCCTCCGTCTGTCCTCACGCCCTCTGTGACTTTTCATATTTCGTTTTTCCGCTCGTGGAAAAGAAGTGCTGAAGTTTTCCTCCCAGAAAAAGCAAAATTCCGAAACAAAACTGTGACAATCTTTTGGGTCGATTCTTCACCGCTCCGCAAGGCAGGAGGAGATCGCAGCTGCCCTGAAACACGGCCTCTCCGCGTCCTCCTCTACCTCTGTCCCTCCGCTCCCGCCCGGCCCCGCCACTCGGCTGGCGTCTCACTGGGGCCACTGTCTTCTCTTCCAATCTTTTGCAGAAGAACAGAAGCACAAACAGCCGGCCGTCTCCCCGCCGGCGAGGGGAGGGGCGTGCGTAACCTTGGCGCCTGTCCGGGTCCTCCTCCGCGGCCACCGCCTCCTGCCCTGGGTGTGTCGGGTGACACTTGTCCCCCCGACGTTGTCCCTGCCCACCCTGCCTCCACCCGCCTGACTCCCTCCACGATGTCGAGGAGGAGATGAAGGGATGAGGAAGTTCACGCTTGTGCTGAGCGGAAGATCTGGCACTTCTGCGCGTGCAGCTCCCAGCCCCGAGTGCAATACGAGTGACCAGCTACTGACCGGGCTCCCGCAGCCCCGCTGTGAGCCGGGAGTCCTGTGCGCGTTACTGTGAATGTACATAGTCTGCGTCCGCAGAGGCCCAAATGCTGATACTCGTGATGACGATAAAGAGATGTTTGCCAAATAAAAAAAAAAAAAACGAAACCACGGAAGTATGTAAAGTGTAGGAGATAGATTTTCAAAGAAGTCCGAACTGTGTTCTGTGGGGAGCGATGGTTCGTTTGGTGGTGGTTTTTTCACGGTTGTAAAAATTCACCCTTTGAGCGTCTCGAGGAAGAAGGACCCAACAGCTCGGCACCCGTCGGCGCCGTGGGAACCAAGCCCGGCCGCGGGAGCCTCTCTCCGAAAGCCGAGGCAGAGACAGGATCCTCCCCCCAGTCCCTGGCGCCCCCTCTGCGCCCCGACAGAACCTCTGGGTTTTGGAGAAGCGAGGGCCAGTCTGGGCTCTGGCTCCCGAGTAAACCCTGGGAGGACGCCCGCGACCGCGTCGGCCTGGACGTGCCGGGCCCACGGAGACCCGCCTTCTTCGGAGACAGGTGTCCTCCTCTCACCCATCCCCGACCGTCCCCACACGTCTCCTATGCCCTCCTGAGGAGCAGGGCAGTTGGCTGCAGGTACGCAAGGCCCCAGGTGACAGACGGTGGCACCACCGAGGGACACAGCCGGGCACTCAGAGGTCGTGCGTCCCCCGAGGCTGTGCTGGTGAGCGGCGGGCTCCGGAGGGCGCCTGGCCCGCAGGTGAGGGGACGCGGGGGCGGCTTCCCTGGTAGCCCGAGTCCCCAACGTAAGGGCTGGGGCGGTCGCTCAAGGGGTGAGTCCCGAAGACTCGCACGTCTGCTTTGCGGGAGAGGCCCCCCTTCCCCCTCAGCTCGCCGGGCCCTTCCGTGGGGACGACAGGTGGAGCAGGGACAGTGGCACGGACCACAAGGCTGCCGGGGGGCGGGCCCTCCCACGCCAGCTGCTGGGAAGCAGTCACCCCCAAGCCAACTATTAAACGCCAACTGCCCAGGGGACTGCCACCCGCACCAAGACCACCGGTGGGACCCCGAAACCTGTGAGGGGCTGGCCTGAGCCCGCGGCTGAGAGCTTCACAGAACTGGGTTGGCAACGAGAGGGGCTGGGGGGCTTGCGGTGGGGAAACCGAGGCCTGGAGCCCGCAGAAGGGGTGTCCTGGAGTGTGCTGTGTCAGGGTGGCCGGGCGGGGCGGGGGGAACAGGCACGTGAAGCGAGGCAGCCCCCCCTGCCCAGGGGCTCCGGGCAAGGCACTGGCCCACCACGCACTGGCAGGGCCTTTCTGTCGGTCTCTGTGCTCAGGCCAAACCTCACGGTGGAACCAAACTTGGGGTCCTCAGCTTTGGGGAGGGAGGGGACAGGCGGCATTGTTGCATTAGGACTTGGTCAACTGGTGGGCGGACACGCGTGTGTCCTGCGGTCTGCGTCTGGGGGCACCTGCCTTCCTCCTGCCGGGCAAGGAAGGGCTCTGGGCAGGGGCCACACCTGGGGTGGGAGAGCCGCCCTGCCTCTGTCTCCTCTTGGGGCCCACCTGCCCTGCCACCCCCACGAGTTCTGCGGGATGCAGCTGCCCACGGAGCCTCCCCAAACCCCAAACCAAAACCACAGCTTTACCTCCTGCCAAAGCTGAGAGGAAGGGCTCCCGGTCCTGCCCACCCTCCCGTCCCACCTGGCCCAGGCCAGCCTTCCTCCGCGGAAGGGTCTCCGTCCCCAGCATGCCTGGCAGACGGTGTTTCTGCTGCCCACCCCGGGCTCTTTCAGGCCAGTCTTCCGGCCTGAACGCAGGCAGAGGCCAGCGCCTCCAGGCCACACGCAGACACAGGGCAGGGTGGCATGGCTGGACACACCCCGGCCCCCGGCCGCCCTCTCCCCTCCTCGCCCTGAGGCCTGGCGGGGCCGGGAGGGTCTGGCCAGGTGGGCACCTGCGGCAGGTCCAGTGCAGAGGGGCGGACGGGAGAGCCGTGGGGCCAGGGTTCACTCAGGCCCCAGTGGACGGGGTCAGACGGGCCCTAAGTTCTTCCTGTTTGGCCAGTTTTCCCAAACGGAGCCTCCAGCAGACGCCAAAGCCCCGTCTCTGGCACCCGCCGCCCTTCCACCCAGACCCACACCTGCCGGTGACTGCCCACCCCCTGCCCCGCCTTCCGCCTGTGCCTCAGGCCTCCGTCCCAGCCACCACGCCAGCCCACACGTGTCCATCTGCGTCCTCCCGTCTGCTCACAGCATCCCTCACCCGGCCCCTCCGCCCCTCCATCCCTGGACCGAGGGCAGCGTCACCAGCTGCCGCCGTGTGTGGTCACAGAGCCACTCCAGGTCCTGCCTGGCCTTGACTGTGCCCTAGCGGAGCTGCCCGTGGGGCGGCGGCCCCCGCAGTGCCCAGCGTGGTCGGGCCTGCGCCAAACACCTGCAGGGACAGACAAGCTTCTGCTGCAGACCTTGTGGGCAGATTGGACCTGGGGCCTAGCAACAGCTCCAGCCAATCTCGGCCCGCCTGGAGGGAGCGGTGGCCGGGGGCCAGGACTGTGCTGGGTGGCCGCCCGCACACCTGCTTGGGGCGCGTGGCCCGGGCTGCCAGGGTGAGCACATTCCCTGGCAGGACCTGGACACTGCGGGGCCCGGCCACCCTCTCCGCCTCCCGGTCTCCAGGGGTCAGTGGCCGGAGGAGGCGTCCCAGGAAGGGAGGGAGCCAGTGCCGGCTTCCCCCCGAGCACCGGCCCTCCTGGGGCCCTGCTCCTCCTGGGGTGCTCGGGGCACCCCACTCCCCTCCTTGTTCCTGGGGTCCCAGATGACTCAGAGTTGAGCCCTCCAGATCTGAGATTGGGAACATCTGGGGGCAGGCCTGCCCAGCTCTCCAGACCCACAAGGCCCCGCCCTGGGCCCCCCTGCCCTGCCGCTCCCGCACCTTCGGGGCGCGTCCTTTAGTGGGGCTGGGCGGGGCCTCTGCACCATGGTGGTCCCTGGACGGGTGGAGGAGGCTGCACCCCAGGGGCCCACCCGCTCCTGAGGACGCTTCAGGATGCGGCCGGGAGGCTGGTGCTGGTCACGCCCTGCACTGTCTACTGGAGCTCTGGAAGCTCCACTTTGCACACTCTGTTCCTTTTGTTCCACCCAGCGAAGCCCTGGCCTCGCACCCAGAACCCCGAGTGACAGGAATCGACGTCGGTCCTCAGAGTGAAGCCGATTTTTAAATATTTAAGTGAAGGCAGCAGGCACCCTTGCTGCCCGCTGGACGAGGGGCCCGGCCAGGCTGCCGTCACTCACCTGCCGCTCCGCGGGGGCAGGGGGTCGGGCCAGGGGGGCCGCGCACAGCCTGGCAGGAAAGGGCTCATCTCCCACTTGCTCTTCTTTTCTGTTAATTCCCCAAAGGAGCCAACCGAGTGTCAGGTTGTTTTCCCGTCGTGGGGTCTTCTCCGCGGGAGGCCACACCCTGCAGCCCGGCCGCGTTCGTGCCGTGGGCGTGGCCGCCCGGCCTCTGATGTACTGTACGTCTGACCTGTGGCCGCTGTGAGACGTGTGGTCGGGTTCACCGTCTCTGTGTAATAAAGCGAACGTTTGCTACCTCGTGGCTCTGCCCTCCTTGGGTCCCCAGCGACTGCGACCTCGTGTCACTCGTAGCCGGGATGCCCCGAGTGCGTGCCGGGTGGGAGCGCAGGCCCCACCGCCGCTCCTCGTGGGGGATGAACGTGTCACGTGGGGCTGGGGGGACGCAGAGGGCACAGCAGGAGCCACACGTGGACTCCAGCAGTTCTGAGCGGCCTTTGAGGGCTGGGCCCGAGGCGGGGTTGGGGTGACCTCAGACCCAGGAGGTGACCCTGATGGCCACGCAGGCCTGACCGTGCTGCAGCCACGGCCCACGGTGAACCTGTGATGAGGGGGACCTGTGGGGACATGGGACCTGCAGGGGACACCGGACCTGTGGGGACATGGGACCTGCAGGGACACACGGGCCTTGGGTGGGCAGCGTGGGAAGGCTTCCTGGCCCCTCTGTGCGGCCGGGACGCTGCCTGGGCCGGGGGTGTTTTTGCTGGTCCTTGGCGCTGGCGGCACCCAGAGGTAGGGGCTGTTACTGATCCTCAGGCCCAGGTCTGGAACATGCTGTATTTTGAAAAGCGTCACTGGAAAAGTCGGCGCAGGACGAGCCTGTCCCCGTGCCAGGAGGCTGGCGGGAGCCCCGGCTGGGCCTGGAGTCACCTTCTCAGGATAGCAGGGGCATGATGAGGTTTTTCCATTGCAGAGGGCTGAGCTCAGAGCGGGGCTGGCCGGGGCACAGCCTGCTGGGCTCTGCCGCCCGCCCGCGTGGAGCTGGCGGGAAGGAGCTGGCGGGAAGTGAGCAGGCAGGACCCGGGGCGCGGCCACAGACGGGCGGGGCCCTGGCCAGCCAGGCTGTGCTCGGTGCAGACGGGGATGCCGCCCCTGCCCTGGTTTGCAGGGGAGACTGCGTCATGCAGTGACACAGAAGTCGGAGATACCTGGGTGCGGCAGCCGCTCAGGGAGGGGGGCACCAGAGCACGGCGGGACCAGCCCCAGGGTCCACACCTGGGGGCAGGTGTGCTGAGAGGCGCCTGGAGATGAGAAGGGGCGTCCCGCCCACGAGGCAGGGTCCAGTCAGGCCTGCTCCTCCCAGACCAATTCCGCCCGAGGCCGTTCCTCCCGGGCACAGACAGTGGGGGCAGCCTTGAGCCGCGGGGAGGGGCCCAGCGGCAGCCCCGGTGCCCCATTGCTGTCCTCCCCAGACCCCAGCTCACGTGGGCGGGACGGGCGCCCTGCTGCAGCCTGGGCCACAACTCCCCCCTCTCATCCCCAATTCCGGCCCTTAATAGCTGCTTAGGACGTGCAGGCACCCGGCGAGTGCCTCAGTGCCCAGCTTGGGGGCAGTCGCAGAAGAGCCTGGCCTCGGGCCCGGGGTGGCAGATAGGCCAGAGGGCCCGTCCACCACCCAGCAGCGTGAGGGTGAGGCCCTGGCGGAGCAGGCCGGGCACGGCGGGCTGAGGCCAGGTGGGCAGACGCAGGCCCCATCTCATCGCCCTGTTTGCACGAGACGCGGCCACAGGATGGCAGCGTCTGGCCCTGCCAGGCAGAAGGATCCCGCGTGACTTAAGTGGCTCCCCACGAAAGGACGGGGAGGGAGGTGCCCACAGGGTGGGGACGTGGCAGGGGTCAGATGCTGGACGGAGGTCACCACGCTGCTCCGGCCCCCAGGCCTCTGCTTGGACCGGTCACACCTCCGTGGAGCCGGCTTTGACCCCCGTGCCTGACGCCCGCCTTCCTGCATCCACTCGAGCCCGTGGGGGTCAGCGCCCCGCTGTTGGGTGTGATGAGTGCAGGGCGTGGGCGCGGACGGCCAGGACCCCCACTCAGTGACTCCCTCCCTCCACTGCCACGGGGGCAGGGCCGGGGCTGCGCTGGGGGGAGCTCGGTCCTGCTGGAGGCCTTTTGAGCTCTAGTGGGAGCAGCTGGCGGGGGGAGGGCTTAAAACTGGGCGGCCCGGCCGGGAGGCAGGTGAGTGCCGGGAGCCGCAGGCCCATGTGGCCCTTCCTGAGTCGGGCTCTCTTCCCGCCCCCCACGGAGGCCTGGCTCCAGACGGTCTCCTCAGACCCCGAGGCCCAGGGCTGGGGGGCCTGGGGGGACACCGAGAAGACCCCTCTGGGGCCAGGGGATGGGGGTGGGGAGAAGGAAGAAGAAACGGAGGAAGACCAAGGTGAAGACGCAGGCTTCCCGCTGTGCCTGCTGAAGTGGGAGCACCTGGCCGAGTGCCCAGTGCCTGACCAGGTAGCGGCGCGTAGAGGGCCCTGCGGAGGCCTGGCGACCTCAGGGGACCCCGAGACGGGGCTGACTGAGGAGGGGAGGGGTGGCCCTGGGGCACCTGCTGCAGGCTGGGAGGTCGGGGCGGCCTCTGGCCTGCGGAGGGGCCTTGCCCTGTGGGCCGGGGGCACTGCCCCAGCCGCCGCCTCGGGAAGGCCAGTGAGTCCCCGTCCAGGGAAGGGGGTCGTCCCCGGGCAGGCAGGACGTACTCCTGCTCCGAGGGGAGCAGCAGGCATCTGCCTGGGCTCAGGGCCACGTTGGCAGGAGCTGGAGGCCATCAGGCTGAAGCTGTGCGCCATGGAGCAGGCCGCCTGGCCGCCGCCGCCACCCAGAGCACAGGCTGGGACCCGAGAAGAGGGGGCCACAGGGGCCGGGCAGCTGCTGAGCCCTGAGATGCCAGGTAGGAGCTGGGGGGCCAGGTCCCCCCTCCCTGGACACAGCCCCCTCCCTGCGAATGGGGGGCTGGGAAGGGGCCATGTTCCCGCGAGGCTGGGGCGGGGCGGGCTCTGAGGCGTGAGTCCCCCCGAGAGGCGGAAGGACTGGGCCGCAGACCGGGCCCCTGCCAGTCCTGAGGCCGCGCCCTCCACAGGCCGCCCCTTCCCTGGGACCCCCAAGGAGAAGGCGGAGGCCGACCACAGATCCGTCTACGTGGGCAACGTGAGTGGCCGGTAGCGGGGGGCCCTGTTCCTCCCACGGGGCCCAGCACCTGGGGTGGTGCCCAGCCGGGCGGCCCCAGCTGTGGGCGGCACTGACCGTGCCGGCTCGCGTGAGGGCAGAGGGAGAGGGTGCCCCCGGGTTGCAAACTCAAACGCCTCCAGGGCCAGAAGGCTGGAGGGGGAAGCAGGAGACCTGGCGCTGGGGCAGCCAGACCGTCCCCTCGAGGAAACGGGGCCTCGTAGTCCGTGGGATGTTCCCGTATTTCAACGCGAGCCCCTCTCCCGCCGGGCCCGTCGCTGGCAGACAATTCCCCCGTCACAAAGCCGCACACGCCCTGCCCAGGCCACACCGCGTGGGGGGCTCGGGGTGGCGTGTTCCCCCTCCCATCTGGCCCTGGGGCCATCCCGGCCCCTCCGCCGAGGAACCCCACGCGCTGTGTCCAGGTGGACTACGGGGGCACGGCGCAGGAGCTGGAGGCCCACTTCAACCACTGCGGGGACATCCACCGAGTCACCATCCTGTGCGACAAGTTCTCCGGACACCCCAAGGGGTCAGTGTGGGCCGCAGGCAGGGGCGGGGGCCGCCTCACGCTGCCGCCCCTCACGCGGCCTCTCACGCGCCCCACCCGCAGCTACGCCTACATAGAATTCGCCTCCGAGCGCTCTGCCCGGGCGGCCGTGGAGCTGGACGACAGCATCTTCCGAGGCCGGGTCATCAAGGTGCGTCCAGAGTCCCTGCGCCTCAGGGCCTCCGTCGGGTGCGGAGCGAGTCCCTGAGAGTCCAGGACACAGGTGCAGAGGCTGGGTGTGCCGAGGACACAGGCGGCCCAGCCACCTCCTCCGCGCGCTGCGTGTCCCGGGCAGCTGGGCTGGGCGTGGCAGGAGGAGCTCCCCCTCGACCCAGGGGGATGTTGGCGGTGACCAGGCACGTCACGTGGCCATGCTGTGTCCAGGTGGAGGGACGGTTCAGGCCTGAATGTTCCCTGAGAAGGTCAGGGACCCCGTGCCCTGGGTGGCCACGGGCTTAGAAGAGGCGGCTTTGGGTTGCAGGTTCCAAGCAAGGTGGGCCCGGGGGTCTGTGCACACCTGCCTGTGAGCCGCAAGCAGAGAAACCTAGGAAGGCTTCCTGGTGGCGGCAGTCGCCCGGGTTTGGCCAGGGCTGGGTGCGGGCAGTAGGGTGAGGAGGACTCCAGAACAGCCTTCCGCTTCCAGGTGTTGCCCAAAAGGACCAACTTCCCGGGGATCAGCTCCACGGACCGTGGGGGCCTGCGGGGGCACCCAGGCTCCAGGGGGGTGCCCTTCCCCCACAGCATCTTCCAGGGCAGGCTCCGGTTCAGACCCCACGGGCAGAACCGGTGAGTGGGGGCTCTGGGGGTGTCCAGGGCAGGAGGGGCTCCTGGGCTGGGGGCCTGCAGGGGTCCTTCCCGGCATTGCTGTCACCAAGGACTGGGGCAAGCTCAGCCACAGCTGCCTTCGTGCGCTCAGCCGGGGGGACTGAGCTGGGGCTGGGGGGGCTGCATCAGCCTGGGGGGCTCTTCTGCACCTCTCGCTCCCGCAGGGGCCCTGCCAGGCCGCGTCTCTGACGAGCACAGCTGAGGCTGCGGTGTGTGGGCCCCTCCTGAGAGGGGGGGCCGGGAGCCGCCAGAAAGGCCCCCTCAGGGCACTCCTTGGCTGGGGGGACCTGCCTTTAGTCCTTACCTGCTGTTCTGGGAGGTCTCTGGGCCGAGACCCTCCCCTCCCCCCCCCACTCACCTTGCGTGCTCTGCGCAGGGGCCGAGGAAGGTTCTTACCGTGGTTCTCACCGTACTGAAGGGAGGCCGGAGGCCACCAGGAGTGTGCAGCTGCGTCCTGCGGGGCCACTTCCTCCAGAGGGGCAGGGTCTGGTGCTGCCAGGTGGGGCGGGGGGCAGGGGTGAGGCCAGAGGCGAGTGCGTGCGGAAGGCTCCACCTGGGCTGGAGGAGCCCCCAGGCCTCCCGTGGGGCCGGGCCCACGCTGCAGCCACAGGCAGGGCAGGGCAGGGCGGGTGGGCCTGGCTCTGCTTGGGGGGAGCGGTAGGGGTGGGGGCCATGGGCCGAGGCCGCGCGGGGCTGGCTCAGGGTGGCGTCCCCAGCTCTTTCACTGACTTGTTTTAAAGAAAAATGAAAATGTGTGTGTCTTAATGTAATGCATAACTTATTAAATGTGAGTATTTTTTAAAAGCACATGACAACAGGCCTCTCCTTTCATTCTTTTGCACGGGTTTTCTTTTCGTCTTTTTCTGGGGGGGGTCTCTGGGGGGGGGGGCTGTGGGGGGGTGTGTTGGTGTCACCGCCAGTCCTGGGGGGCTTTGGCTCCCACACCCCGTAACTCTGCCCTCACACCGGGCCTGGCGGCCTCCGGGGCACACGCAGCCCAGGTGACACGGACGCCCGGCCCAGGCCCGGCCCGTATGAGAAGTTCAGGAAGCAGCGTGGAGGTCTCTGTGGGGGGGGGGGCTCTGTGCGCGCTGTCCTCTCTCGCGCGCGGGTTTTTCTGCGGGGGGGGGCGTTGTGTGTGCTGTGTGTTCAGAGCCAGGAGAGGAAGCCGCAGGGGCCCGGGCTGAGATCCTGCCCGGGTTCCCGCAAGACTCTGCTCACGGAGTCCCTCCTGGGAGTTTCGGAGGCAGCTCTCTCGCCCTACGCCCCGTCCTGCCAATTCCTGACGTTGCTCTGGGCTTCTCGCCGTTGCCTGGTGCCCCCCCGGTCCCAGGTCCCAGGTCCCCAGCCAGCCTCCCTCCTCCAGCACGAGGCGGAGGCGGCCGTGCACCTGGTTCACCACACGGGTCTCCGGCCGCCCCCGAGCCTCACTCCCCCTCTCAGGGTCTTGGGTCCATGTTGGCCTTTGAGTGGGGTGAATGGCGCCCCCCGAATGCACCCACGTCCTCGTCTCCAGAACCCAGGAAAGCAGCCGATGGGCGGAAGGTCTCCCAGGTGCAACAGCTAACAGCCGCCAACGCGCACCACCTGGGCAGCCCAGCCCAGCGGCACGGTGGACACACGAGACACACCTGGGAAGCCCAGGCGAGGACGGAGGCGGCGGGCCACGCACCGCAGGCCACGGATCACGGAGCCCCTGGAGCTGGCTGGCAGCTGGGGCAGGGGCTCCCTTGGGGCCTGGAGGAGCCAGCCCTGCCCACACCTTCACTCAGACTTTGCCTCCAGCACCATGACGGCGACCAGTTTCTGCTGTTCTAAGGCCCCCAGTCGACGGTGCTTCGCCAGGGAAGTCCCAGGAAACCCAGCAGCCCTGACTGGGCCCCGTGTCTCTGGCAAAACCGTCAGGGTCCCCCGACGGAGGAGCTGCCGCCGCCCTCCAAGAGGCACCCAGGTCGCGCCTGAGGTCTGTCTGCTGCAGAGCGCCGGGTGTGCAGCTGCCGGTCTCCAGTTTGCCCTGGAGGGGAAACAGCAGCAGCGGCAAGTCTGACTGCAGGTGGACTGGAGGGCGCCACGGAGCCCCGACGTCAGAGTGGCCAGGGCAGGCCAGGCCACCCGAGAAGGTGGGGAGCCAGAGGCCGAGGCTGGGGCCTTGCCAGGGCCCCTCGTGGCTGGGACGCCGCAGGAGGAAGTGCGAGTGGCACCTGCAGATGAAAACTGCCTGGGCCGCACCCTGGGCCCAAGCGTCCTGACCGCGGTGAGGGGCGGGGTCTCGACAGTCACGACCGTGGGTTTCTCAGGCCCGCGGCAGTGCTCCAGCCCACGGGGTAAGTTCGTTCCTGTCCGTCTTGGGCCTCCTGTGTGGCCCCTTCGAGGAGACAGTAGAGTGAGCCCGGGGTCCTCCTCTCGTGGGGAATTGGGGCCCGAGCAGGCCAAGGTGGAGGGAGGCTGAGAGGAGCCCTCGGCGTGGCCTCCACGCAGATGGCGAGGCCCCGAGCCACACGCGGCTGAGGTCTCTGCTGTGTCCAGAGAAAGCAGAGCGCCCCCTGGCTGTCACGAGCGGCAACTAACAAAGGAACAGGCTCCCCTCGCCCCCGGTCTGGGGCAGAAGGAAGGAGAGGCCGTGTCGCTGATGTCCGGGGGAAAGACGGGGGGTGCTGCCCTCGACGCCCAGCAGAAGTGGCCTGGGGGACAGGCCTGGGGTGGGGGACAGGCCTGGGGAGGCACAGGCAGCTGGCAGGGCGTGGCCCTCCATGAGAAGCCAGCCTCGTGGTGGAGACGATGCGGAGCTGCCACGTGACGGTTCTGCTGTCAGAACAAAGGTGAGCAGACGGCCACCCAGGCGTACAACGGGGGTGCCACCCAGCACGGCTGGTGACACCCCCTAACACAAAAAGCACTCAGGGATTGGTGTGGCTACACCTAACAGAAAACCCCAATATGAGTGGATTAAGCAAGGGAAGGGTGTATTTTATTTTCTCACGTAAAGAAACAAATCCCCACACGAGTCAAGAGCTGGTGCGTCAGCAAAGGCCCAGGACCCTCCTTGCCTGTTCTCAGGGAGAGTCTTGTCCTCAGGCTCTCAAGATAGCTGTCTGAGCCCCAGACATCGCATCCACGTTCCGGGCAGAAAGACAAAAGGGGAAGGGCCTCCAGATGCCTGCTGAACCCTGACGCCACTTACAGGCTGTAACTAACCACCCGGGGTTCCAGGGAGGGCAGGAAATGGCCCTGACCCGCCAACTCTACTTGAGTAACGCTCGGGCTGTTGGGAAGGGAGGGAGAGCGGGATGCTGGGCTGGCAACACGCAGCGCCCAGCGCAGCCCGTCCTCCGCAGAGGTCCCCACGAGCCAAAGCTTCCGCGCTGGGCCGGAGTCCCGGCCTCCTCTCAACAACAACAGGCTTGTGAAAGAAGGGTCTGGACCCCCGGAGTGTGGCCGGGGCCAGGGCACCGGCATCAGCCCCTGGCCTTGCTCTACTCCAGGCCTTCCAAGTCAACCCAGGGCCCAGACAGGCGTTTCTGACACACCCGCCTCACCGACTTGCTTTTCCTCCTGTAACTTGTAAGATCGATCCTGTGCCGTCGGAAGGGTGAGGATGCAGCGCTGCGCGGAGAAAAGTCCACCTCCCCGGGCCCAGCCCCGGCTCGCCCGTGTTACCGCCTTCCCTGTTCCCCAGGGCACTCTTGGGCCCTGAAAGGTCCCGGAGAAACCCCCAGTTCCAGGTCAGTGCCGAGGGACGATGGGGGAGTCTCCCCGGCTGGCCGAGTCTTGGGTTGCTCCACTCCAGGAAGCCAACAGCCCCGAGGACTCAGGAGTCAGGCTCAGCCCCGCAGCGGTCCTCACTGCCTCAGCCACCCCCTGGGTGCCCAGGTTTCCAAGGGCAGGGGAGGCATAGCCCTGGGCCACTGGATCCTGGGAAGGAGCTGTGAACTCAGTCCTGGTCGTCATCTGGACTTGGCTGCAAAGGTCTCTCGGGGCAGAACGTGGAGACCCAGTGACAGTCACCCTTATCCTGAGCTTCCGGGGCAGCCTGCCCAGGGGCACCAACGGGCAGCGGGGAGGGCTCTTCAAGGTTGCTCGTCGCAGCATGCAGGCAGCAGGCGACCAGGCCGCTGCGGGTCCACGAGGCTTCCCAGGCCTCACGAGGGCTCCTGCTGAGGCCAAGGCTGAGGCCAGACCATGGGCCAGGGGCAAACAGTGGGTGCCAAGTCCAGAAACAGGAGGGCGCTTACCCCACGGCGGGCACCGTCTGTCCCTACATCCTAGGCTGGCTCTGGGCTCAAGAGGCCAACCCCTGTGGACACAGGGAGGAGTAGAAGTTCGCCACGCGCCCTGGCAGGTCACAGCACCTGCGGGCCTGAGCTCTCTGGGCTCCAGGCAGCCCTGACCCTTCCTGCTGAGTGGGGACAGGCTTCCTGCTGGCTTTGGTCCCTGACCTCTGCCCACACGCCTGGAAGGTCCTTAGCTGAACTCTCCGTAGTTAAATCTTCTGCAGACACAGAAGGAAAAAGCCAAATTTCATCTCACAAAAGCTTTAGTTGAGATGTACCAGGCACGAGCTCTTGCCCTCAAGCAGCGGGGGTCACGTTCGGGAAGAGACAATGGGAACAGACAGACATGTCCTCCACACAGCTACGCGCAGATGCTCCGCGGGGACGGCTGGCGGCACAGCTCCTGCTCAACAGACTTGTATCATCATAGACGTCACCATGTTATCAAAGGCCCTGCAAAGAAAAACGGACCAGTGCAGAGGACAGACTGGGCCCCTCCGCCCCTGTGCTGCACAGATGGGCACTGCCATCGCTGTGTCCACGGGACTCACGGGGCCTCCCCTTGGGCTCAGAGAGTAAAGCCCTGCCACACAGGGCAGTGACAACCTGTCTCCTGCCCCCAGCTCCCTGCGTGGCTTCCTGAGGTCCCTGGCTGGGTCTCCCAGTGTCAAGGCCTGACGGGTCCCAGGTAGGGGGATAGTGAGCAGCGAGCGTTCACCTGTTTGCTCTTACCTTAGATGTGGGATGACCCAGGACACACAGTGTCCCAAGTGAGGGAGGGACCTGGCACGGGTCATAGTAGTGTCCCCTCACTTGCCAGCTACACCTGACACAAACGCATTGTGCACAGAATCATCTTGGGACAGGAATCCCTGGCAGCAGGTTTGGAACGTGTGCACACGGACCCCACGTTTCTGTATGAACCATCTTCACGACGTTCAAACATTAAGTCTGTTTGCTTTGAAGGCTATTTGGAAGATGCCTTCAATCCAAGTTCAACATAAAGACAGATGGGCAGTGACACGAGGACGTTCTCTCCCTGAAGGCTACCGTCCGTGCACTCGGGCCCTTCCCTCACTGAGCTTCCCAGGCACCCACTGGGCACACCTGGGAAACCACATGTGCAAGCTCCGCCCCCCTCGACCCCCTCCTTTTATCTGCTTTATACTTCAAAGGTTTGGGTCAGCGCTTTCTGGAAAATCACTGCCTTAGGGTGGCAGCGCTTGTGACTTAGACCTTCCCTCCCTTACTTTCCGGACGGCTGCATTTTAGCAAGGCAGGTCCTGCAAAAAGGGGCGCAAAGCACAGAAGGGGCCCACCTGGACTGGATGCGGTCGCCAGGGTTATAGAACGGGTTGCACATCACATCTGTGTAGGAGTTATGCAGCTTCCGGAACATCTGAAACAAGACCCAGCGTTTTAAATTAATACATACGCACAGCTACTGACGGACTTTTGACTTCTCAGCATTTCAAGACAGAGAAAATAAACCAAACCAAACGACTCACTCAGGCGTGGTCTTCTAATCCCCAGCACCCGGCACTTACGCTGCGGATTTCGTTGTCTCGAAGGGCGGTGTTGGAGGAGTCCACCACCATGACGAACTTCACCTTGGAGTTGGTCACGTAGCCGTATCTGCACAGCTGGTTAGGGAACGTGCTCGGGGACACTGGGCTAGCAAGCGAGGCACCTGTGAGCCCTGGGCCCTGTGTGTCCTCGCTTTGCAGAAACAAGACAACCTTCAATCTCAGGAATCTGCAGCGACCACACCACGCCTGAGCGGTGTCTGGCGTTTCCTGGAGAACAGCCAGCCCAGCCCTTCCCAACCCACACTCCAGGACCCTGGGTCGGTCCGTGCGCCTGGGACATCACACCCTCTTTCTGGATCAATGCCTGGCCCAGAAAGTTAAGTGTAAAACCAGAAATTTCAGGAATAAAGTGAATCCCCTCCCCCCCGCCCCGTAAAAGACATGTTGTTTTGTACAAAGTGGCAAATGTCACTGTGGACAAGCTGCACTACTGCTTGTGGAACTACCTTTGAACTCCAGGGTCTCAAAGCGATTTGTCCCAAAGAAATGGTCAAGAGCTTCTAGTGACTTCAAGGTAGGGCCTAATAATGAAATAAATGAGGTGCCAGCTCCCCTGAAAAGCACAGAAAGAAACCTTTGCAGGGGCAAAGCAGGGGAGTCCCTGGTCCTCTACAACCCCAGACAAGGGACAGGTGTAAACCAACACGTTCTCCAGGGAACGCAAGCCTTGCTTTTCCCAAATGATTCTTCCAACTAAAGGGACAGGGGAGAGGCCTTCTCTGGCCTGAAGCTTCCCTAACTCCCTGGCTGGCTCAAACCCTCACCTTTTTTTTTCCTTTCAAGTATTTCAAGGTTATCAGACCCTAAAGCACAGCCTGCGACTGCAGGTGCCATCTCCGACACAAACCCCGCCGGGCACCGAAAGATACACCTTATAGTCCTCTGTAGGGTAGAGCAGGCCCAGGTAGAGCTCCCTCTGGTCCACCAGCGCCTTCCCCATTGCAGAGATCTTCTCGTCCACCACATCCAGGGACGTGTGCACCATGTAGTGGAACTTGAGCTCGTTCTCCGTGGGAGCGCTGCGGATGTAGAGAGGGTAATTCTGCAAGAAAGGATGATGGCTACTGAAAGGACGAGAACCCACCGGGCTCGTGCCAGCTCTGCACAGTGCCATCGAGCGCTCCGGAGGGCGGGCCCATGACCTGCCAGCCACCCATGGCATCCGTGCTCACGGTCTAAACCCACCGCCTCATTCTCCACACCTCTGTGGGCAGTACCCTCATCTAAGTAGGTTTACATGTTTGCAAAGGGGCATTGGTAGGGTGGGCAGAAGAGAGGGAACAACTTAGAAAAACGGGTTTGAGCACAGCCTGGGCAGGTCACTCACCTTCCTGGAGTCCACTCTGCCTCAGTCCCACCTCTCGCTGTGTAGTGATCCTAGCAAGGCACCATAAACACTGGCTATTTCCTAAACTGCCACCCGCTGCAATTTCTTCACCTGACAATGGCCCTCTTCCTAGACCCTTCCAGGCTCAGCTCAAACTCCGTTCATGTCTGCATTTCTGACCAGCCTAAGCCAGAGTTAGCAGCTGCTTTCCTGGCCTCCCACACACTACAGTTCTGCTTGGCTCGGGCTGCTGCAGAGACGGTAAACAAGACATTGTTCATCAGGCTAAAGTTGACCCTACCCCAAGCAAATGGTAAGTTGTGACATCTGCTAAAAGGGAAGCCCAGGAGGAGCTTCACTGTAGCCACGGCGCTGATCTGAGGAGAGACCCTGGATAGGAGACTAAGGCCTGGTGCAGTCGGAGCATGCGGACAGCCACTCGGCTGTCTGAGCACTCAGAAAACGCTCGCCAGAGGAAATGAAATAGTTGGCCAGCAAACGGGATGAGGGCTGGGAGAAGGGTTCCAAGTGCAAAGGCCCAGAGACCAGAGACTGTCCGGGGAGCTGCAAGCAATTCAATTTGGTTGGAGTGGAGGGTGCAAGGAGTGAGGGGGGGGGCCCTGAACCTGGGGATTCAGACATCATCCCAAGGCAAGGAGAAGCCGTTGGAGGTTTTAGGCAGAGGCGTGACATCCCATGTTTTTAGCAGAGCACGGTGGCTGCTGAGAGAGCTGGGCGGCAGCTGCCCGGGCGAGGGGCGGCGAGAGGACGGAGCTACGCGGAAGGCCCGCGCCGCGCTCGGAGGAACCAACGGAGGCTGCTGGGGCGGGAGGAGGCCGGCGGCCGCGACGCTCAGCCGGCGGGAGCTGCGGGCGCAGCTGGGAGCGCCTCCCCGGGGCGCCATCCTTAAGAAGTCTCGCGGGGCCGCGGAAGGCGGAGGGGCGAGTACCGGGCGGGGTCCCGCGGGCCGGCAGCGGGAGAGCCGGACGCCCGGCGGCCGCGAACGCACCTCTTTGGCGATCACCGCGACGCACACCGCCATCTTGGGAAGCGCCGCCGGGCAGCGCGTCACGTGACCCGCTGCTAGTCACGCGGCCACCCAGGCCCCGCCCTCCGCCTCTCAAAGGGGCCCAGGCCCCGCCTCTCCTGCCTGCTCAGGCTCTGCGCCCCGTCACTCAGCGGGCCCAGGCCTCGCCTCTTCTGTCAGCACAGGCCCCGCCCCGCCCTAGACCCCGCCCCCATCTCTCAGAGGGCCCAGGCCCCGCCTCTCCTGCCTGCTCAGGCAACGCGCCCCGTCACTCAACGGGCCCAGGCCCCGCCTCTCCTGTCAGCACAGGCGCCGCCCCAGTCACGCGGCCGCCCAGGCCCCGCCCCGCAGGCGGCCGGGAAAGCCGCGCGCGCAGCGGGCTCCAGTCAGTCCGCCCGCTGGCCCGGCTCCGCGGACCCACGCGTGGTTGCCATGGTGGCGGTTGCCGCAGCGACGAGGTGGCGGCGGCTGCTGCTGGTGCTGAGCGCCGTGGGGCTGGGGGCTGCGAGCGCCCCACAGCCCCCCAATATCCTGCTGCTGCTCATGGACGACGTGAGCGCGGGCGCGGGGGGAGGGGCGCGGGGTTCGGCGGGTGACCCGGCGCTGACCCGGCCGCTGAGGTGACCCTGCGCGCTCGGCCGCCCAGGTGGTGTCCTTGCCCACGGACCGCAGGTGGGGCGGCCGGAGCCGGGCGGCGGTGTCCCCACCCTGAGAGGGCTGCGCAGCTCCTCTCTCCTTTTCCTGCCCGCACTGGGGAGGGGCTGCGCTGTGGCCCCCCCAGGGAAGGCGGGAGTCCCCGGGTCTGGGGAGGGGCAGAGCTGACGGACCCCTGCACCTCTGCCGGGGGCTTCCTGCACACCTTGGCCCCAGGCCCCATCCCACCTGGGCACTGACCGAAGGGTCAGAGCTCTGAGGCCCGGAAGAACTGGGGGGTGGGAGTGTCACCTGTTGGGCAGGTGTGTGGCCCAGAGTGGTGGGCTGGGTGCCTGTGACAGGGCTGAGCTGTGGAGTTGTCCCTTCATCCCAGTGGCCCTCACCTGAGGAGTCCCTAAGTGTGCTCCGTCCAGCCGTTTGTGCTGTACCAAAATCACTCGGCATTCCCACCGGGCGGGCTGGGGACGCAGGCACACCTGGCCCACACCCCGCTGGTCCTGAGCTGCAGGGAGTCACTTGAGCTCCTCCAGCCTCAGCTGCCTCCCCTGCGAGGGTCACACCAGTCCGGCGGTGCGCCTGGTACTGTTGGGAGGCCGGGAGGACACTGAGTACGGGACAGTTTGGGCCACTCAGTGCCTGTCAGAGCAGCAGACACCGCGACAGGGCCCGTAGACCACGGCTATGCTGACCGCACAGTGGCCACGAGCCCCACGTGGGTGCTGGACAGTCGCGACTGGCTGGAGTTGGGAGGTGCCGTACGTGTGAAATATACAGATTGAGAAGGCTTGGGAAGAGAAAAAGAATGCAAACTGTCTCCTTTAATAATTTCTTGTTATCGAATTGATGGTTCTTTGGTATAAATTGACGACATTCAGATGTGCCCGTAAAGATAGTAGACACCATCCGTGATTCCACCTGAGTCACCTGCTCAGAGGTGACTGCTGATGACGCTGGACTTACCTGTTTGTGGTCTTACGATTTGTCCAACGACTGCTGCCTGTCGCGCACCCTCCAGGCCTTGGGAGCGCCTGTCCCGGAGGCAGGCCCTGCTCAGGGATGAGCCGTTCTCAGTATTAAAGTTACTTCCCCTTTCAATTCGGTCCTCTCGCGGTTTCAGTGCCTCCCGCGGCCAGCTCAGTTTCTCCGGGCCAGCGACCGAGGCTCCCTCTGCCGCTTCCAGCCCCTTCCCGACTCTCTCGATGACAGATGGGCGAGGGAAGCGGGTTAGGACCCCTCCCAGCAGTTCGCGAAAGTGCTTTTTACACTGAGGACTTGCTGGAATGATAATATCTTGGATATATTGGGTTAAACAAAAAACTTTCATTTCACCTAATTTTACTTTTCTCATGTAGCTCCTGGTAAATGTAGAATTACCCGTGGGGCTCAACCTCACGCTTCCGTGGGACGGTGCAGTTTCCGGTCAGGGGCTTTTGAGTGGTGGGGCGAGACCTGTGCCCTTTGCGCTTGAGGACGCTGACCAGGAGGCCCCCATGCGCCCTGGGGCTGGGGCGGCCGAGGGGCCCCGGGCTGCGGGCTCCTTCCTGAGCGGTGCTTCCTGTGGCTCTTGAGGGACCTTTAGCAATAAAGCCCAGAGAACTCTGGGAGGCCTCTGTCCTAGTCAGCAAACCCGTATTAGGACTTTCTGATGCAAACGATAGAAAAATGAACTTAGTGACCAGCAAGAATGGAAAATCCCTGGCCTTCCCAGCTGGTCGGACCAGGGCGGCCCTGGCTTCCAATAGGCAAGGTCCAGGGTTTCCCCTCCCACAGCTCTTGCTCAGCCTCTGGCCCCACGGCACCCCATGACAGCCCCAGGCACCTCCAGGCTCACCCCACAGTCAGCAGACCCAGACCCCGCCTGTCAGCCGGGCCTGGCTCCTGCCCCTGGGCTGTGCTCACTGGGGGAGGGGAGCGTTGCCTGTCCAGCTGGGGCCTTGGGCCCACCCCAGGGAGAGGAGGCCTCCCGGGCCTGTGGGATCCACCCAGACTGAGCAGGGACGGGGTGCCCCGAAGGGCCCCACCATGCAGCTACCAGAAAGGGGCAGGGCCGCCGGCAGGCAAGAGCCGGGGAATCCGGAGGGTGAGCCTGCTTCTTGGGTTCAGATTTCCGAGGGAGCCTTGCCCACTGCAGACCGACTGCCACGGCCCGGTCATCGGGGTGCCGGGCCTGCCCGTTCACAAGAGGGGGTGCAGTTCCAGAAAATGAGCCTCCCCCAAGCTAGCGTACCACCCCCTGCAGGGCCAGAAGCCCACTCCCCAGCCAATCGCACCTGTTAAAGGACCACTCCCCTCGTCCCACCCCGGGTTAGGGCCAGGGCGGAGGCTGGTCTGGGATCAGGTCATAGCAACGGAGTCACACACGGTGGCCCTTCGTGTCTGGCTCTGTCACTTGGCATCACGTTTCTGAGGTTCGTCCGTGTCGTAGCAGGTGTGACTCCGTTCCTTTCTGTGGCTGAGTCGTGTTCTGTAGCTTGTGGATTTGTGTCCTGAGGCGTAGCGTCTGACCACAGGCTGAGTGGCCTGGAACGACAGAAATGCAGGGTGTTGGCAGAGCCGGTCTCTCTCTGAAGGCTCTGGGGAGGGTCCTGCCTTGCGCCACGGGCATTCCTCAGTGTGCGGCTACGTCACTCTGGCCTCTGCCTGCACACGGCGGTCCCCCGCGTGTCTGTGTCTGTCTCCTCCGAGTGAGGATGCCAGTCACATTGGACTTGGGCCCTCCCTACTCCAGCATGACCTTTTCTTATCTCATTACACCCACAGAGACCCTATTTCCAAATAGAGGCCCCAGGCGATACGGTCTGTGTAGACCATGCCTTCTTCGTCCACTGGGCCGCTGACGGACCCTGTGCGCATGTGCGGCCATGATGTTCGCACAGGGTGCGCGTGGACGGGAGGTTTCAGTTCTCTTGGGTGTGTACCTAGGAGAGCAGTTGCTGGTCATATAGTAACTCTAGACTTAGCTTTTGGGGGAACTGGATCCCCTTTTTTTTTTAGAGACAAGGTTCCGCTCTGTTGCCCAGGCTGGAGTGCAGTGGTGAGATCACAGCTCGCTGCAGCCTCCAGCTCCTGGGCTCCAGCGATCCTCCTGCCTCAGCCTCCCAAGTAGCTGGGACTATGGGCGTGCATGGCCCCACCCAGCACGTTCCCGAAATCCACATTTGCAAGACAGACTTTTGAGGGCTTGCGTGTTTGTGTTGGAAACAGGTGTATATTGTGAGATGCCAGTCCCCTGTGAGCAAACGGTGGTGCCAGGCGGGCAGGAGGGCAGCTCTGCTAAGTGGGGGTGAAAACCGCACAGCTCGGGGCTGACCCTGGAGAAGCTCTGCCGCGTGCCCTCGCGGGAGCTGCTGGGTTTAATCCAAACCTAGCTGGGGCGCAGGTGGGGGGCCGGCTCCAGCAGTCCACAACACACACTCTTGTCAGCCCCGCAGAGGCTCCCCGAGACGGAAGTGCCACCAGCCAGAGGCGCTCACCCATTTCTCCCCGCTCTTTCCTGCAGATGGGGTGGGGCGACCTGGGGGTGTACGGAGAACCTTCCAGAGAGACGCCGAATTTGGACCGGATGGCCGCAGAAGGGATGCTGTTCCCAAACTTCTATTCCGCCAACCCTCTGTGCTCACCGTGTAAGTCAGGGGGGGCCCCGGCCTGGGGAGGGGGGAGCATCTCTCTCCCGAGGTGCCCGAGGGGGCTGGCAGGTGGGGTGGGGCCTGTCCCACTGGGTCCCACCCGGGTTTTCAAAGTCGAAGGTGCTGCCTCTGTCTCCCCGGGGCTGAGCAGCTGTGCCCGGCTCTGGGAGCAGAGCTGTGGGGGGGGGTCTCAGTCCTGTGGGGTGGGGTGGGGCTTCCTGACCCTCCACAGAGAGTCCCTTGACTCAGAAGGCAGGGGCCGTGTGGACCCGCAATCCAGTGGTGTCCCAGAGCCCGGCGGGCAGGGCAGGGGCCCTGGGGTGGCCGGGGAGCTGCAGCACACGGGGTCCACGCCTCTCTCTGCACAGCGGGCGATCAGGGCCAGCGGGGGTGGGAGACCACGGCAGCCCCTTGAGGCCTGACCCGCGTCTCGGGTGCACCAGCGTGCGCAGCTGCCATGACGCAGCCGGATGCGTGCACAAGGGCAGCACCGTGGGCCTGCGAAGGCTCTGACCCGACACCCTTCTCACCGCGTTTGTTTTTGTCACCTCCGCGCAGCCAGGGCAGCTCTGCTCACGGGACGGCTGCCCATCCGCAACGGCTTCTACACCACCAACGCCCACGCCAGAAACGGTAGGCTCCTGCCCTCCAGGGACGCTGGGCGTGGGCGGGGCGGGGCGTGGGCCTCGGTGGCCTTGGTTCTGCTGTGTGGCGCCGGCTACGGGGGGTCAGGTGCTTTATTTCTGTCACACCTGTGACTTTAAGACAGCAATTCCCCCGTGCACCCCTGTCCAGACAGCGTACGCCAGGCAGGTGGAGACCAGGGTAAGGCCTGGCCGCGCGGCGGCATGGCCCGAGGAGTGGGCCCGCCCTTCCCTCCAGAAACTCCGACTCGTGTCGTGGGCCAGCTGGACCCCACGGCAGGCCCTGAGGAGGCTGGGCCATGGGGACAGCAGCAGTGGATGTTCTGGAAACAGTGTGCGAGGTGTTTGGGTGGGCTCCCCAGGGACAGTTCCACAGACGGGGCGGGGTTTCAAGTGGCCTTTGAAGGAAGGGGTGTGGGGAGGATGGGGAGGCGCAGGGCGGGGCCTCAGGGTCACACGGCACGTTCCGGAGACCCCGGCTGACCAGGCTGGCAGGTACCGGGGCGGGATCAGGAGGGCACAGTCTGCCCCGTCCCACCCCTGGTGCTGGTGCTGGCTTTGAGGGGTGCCCGGAAAGTGCCATGTGGACGTGCCAGCCCCAAGCACGGCTTTGCCCGCTGGCCCTGGCGGGCAGGTCCCGCTAGAGCGCGGGTCAGCGAGGCGTCTGCACGGTGCTCCCCGGGGGCTCACGCGGCGTGCTTTGCAGCATACACGCCGCAGGAGATTGTGGGCGGCATCCCGGACTCGGAACTCCTCCTGCCTAAGCTGCTGAAGGAGGCCGGCTACGCCAGCAAGATCGTCGGCAAGTGGTGAGTCCTCCGCCAGCCGTTGGGGCATCCTCACGGCCGCTCAGGCCTTCTTGACCCGGACTTATCACTGAAAGTTTCCAAATGAGGACGACTTCTTGCGTGGGAAACGGAAACTCTTTGAATTCTGGGTCCGTTTCCATGTCTCCAGCATTCCCGTACACGCGGGCGGGAGCCAGGCCCCGTGCCAGGCTGGGACAGCAGCCGTGGCAGGGCCGCCTCACAGGGCCGGACTCGGTGAGCCCGTGGTCCACGGCCACCTCTGCTCCCCGGCTGCCTCTGCCACGGCGTCACAAAGAGCCAGGTCATTGCACACACAGGTGCCACCCCGGGTGAGACACCTTGTCAGCCAGCCGAGGGCTTCTGCCTGGGGGTGGAAACTCTATTCTAAACCTGCGTCCCAGCCCGGGGGCTGATCCGTGGCCTGTTTGGGACCAGGCTGCAGAGCTCCGCTGCAGCAGCCCCCGCCTCCGGCCACGGAAAGATTGTCTTCCATGACGAAGCAACCAGGGAGTAGAGAAACGGCCACGCAGTTTGAGTCCTGGGTTCGAATCACAACAGCGTCAAGAGCTCATGGGGCTACATGCCTCGGAAACACCCAAGCACAGCCACGGAAGTCTGTGTGGGTCCGATGTCGGCATTTCTGTTTTTTTTTTTTTCTTGAGACAGAGTCTCACTGGGCTAGAGTGAGTGCCGTGGCGTCAGCCTAGCTCACAGCAACCTCACACTCCTGGGCTCAAGTAATCCTTCTGCCTCAGCCTCTCGAGTAGCTGGGACTACAGGCATGCGCCACCATGCCCGGCTAATTTTTTCTATATATTTTTCGTTGTCCGATTAATTTCTTTCTAATTTTAGTAGAGACGGGGTCTCGCTCTTCCTCAGGCTGGTCTCGAACTCCTGACCTTGAGCGATCCACCCGCCTCGGCCTCCCAGAATGCTAGGCACCGTGCCCAGTCGACACAGTGCGCTTTGACCGCGCGTCCCGTGACGAACTTTGGTGTGTTCGCGAGTCCCTAAAGCGTCTTGGGCTCCTGTTTCCAGGCACCTGGGCCACAGGCCCCAGTTCCACCCGCTGAAGCACGGATTCGACGAGTGGTTCGGGTCCCCCAACTGCCACTTTGGACCTTACGACAACAGGGCCAGGCCCAACATCCCCGTGTACCGGGACCGGGAGATGGTCGGCAGGTAACGGCCCGTCCTCCCCTCCCGGCCCCTCCCTCTGCCCTGCCGCCGCCCCAGGAGCAAGACGGACAGTCCTGGCCACCCGCTCCCCACCGGCTCGCCCAGAGCCTGGCACACCCCACCTGGGCTCACGGCCACCGTCCCAGGGTCACGGAGCCATTAGAAACGTCATGTGCGTGAAAGACCCTGCCCAGCAGGTGGGCTTGCTTCGCTCGTGGTGTCGGGGGCTTAGGGCCCCTTGGCGCACGTTGGTGAGGGGCCGTCAGCCGCACCCTGTGCCCTCGGCCTCCACTCCCACCCCGGCCCCCGCCTGCTTACCCTCCACGCTGTCTCCAGCCAGTTCCCGTCTTCCCAAAGGCCGGGGCCGTGACGGGGCCAGTCCGAGAGGAGGCCCTGTGCCCCTCGGGCCGTGCACACTGGCAGCTTGACCCGCCCCATAAATGGAGCCTCTCCACCCTTGTGTCACGTGAGGGCTGTGACTTCGCCAGTGAGATTGGGGAGAAGGGAGCCATCTTGGCCCCAATCCTGACGTCTGGGTCTGGTCACTCTCAGGTTTTACGAAGAATTTCCAATAAACCTGAAGACGGGGGAGGCGAACCTCACGCAGATCTACTTACAGGTAAGGACACCTGCTTCGGCCGGGCGGCCCTGGGGTGGGGGGCGGTCAGCCTGCAGGGCCGGGAGGACCGTGCGGCCTTCTCCGCAGGAAGCCCTGGACTTCATCAAGAGGCAGCAGGCCAGGCAACGCCCCTTCTTCCTCTACTGGGCCATCGACGCCACACACGCACCTGTTTATGCTTCTAAACCTTTCCTGGGTACCAGTCGGCGAGGGCGGTGAGTCTCTGGTTAGAGAAGCAGAGACCACACCTGGGGGAGGGGCTTCAGCTCTGCTTGATTACCTCCAGGGACGGGACGCTCAGTACCATGATACTGAATTGCCAATCACAGAAAAAGACCAAAATACCTCAGGCTCTTTGAAACCGTCCGCCAGCCCAGGGTGAGCAGGAGCGCACGGCAGTGCGGGGTCCGTTCCGTCCCTGACAAACCACGTGAACTTGGACTCGAGCTTTTTTCCCTCTTCGGGGAAGGAGGCCAGCTGCTCCATTGGTCCTCTGTGAAGTCACGACGTAACACGCTTTTTGAGTCACGCCGACACCGTTGGCCGCCTCATCAACTCGTCACCTTCCCCAGGTATGGGGACGCCGTCCGGGAGATCGACGACAGCGTCGGGAAGATTCTGGGCCTGCTGGGGGACCTGAGCCTCAGGGACAACACGTTTGTCTTCTTCACCTCCGACAACGGCGCCGCCCTCGTGTCCGCTCCCAGACAAGGCGAGTGCCCGCAGCTCCCCCGGTCAGCTCCACCAAGGCTCCGTCTCAGGACGCCGGGGCCGGCAGAGGCCTGGCTGAGTCTGCCAGTTCAGGCTGCCGACAGGAACTAACCGCAGCGACTTACCCTTCCCCGGGGACAGGGTGCTCATTATGTCACTGCCAGAAAACCTCTGTTTTGCTGCTTTTTTCCCCATTTTTCACCTTGGCTCATCGACAGCAGCAGGGGCGACATCTGTCCCCTGATGCAGGCGCCCGCCCGCCGCAGAGACCGGAGTCCGGCCCCGTCTCCGAGTGAGCCGCAGGCGGCGCCGTCGCCGGGGCTGGGGCCTGGCCCGAGTCAGCGTCCGCCTGCTTCAGAAGGGCCGGGCGCGTCAGACACGCAGCTGCCCGCACCCGTCCCGACCCACGGTCAGAACATGCAGGGGCAGGGCTGGCTGCGTTTTGACCAAAGCCCCTGCCCCAGACACACGGGGTGCTGCCGACATCAGCATTTAGGCAACACTGAGCGTCCGAGAGCCCAGCAACCTCCGTCACGGGAGCTGTTGTGAGAGACGGGGTCTCGCTCTGTCCTCCACGCGGGAACGCAGTGGCGCCATCACCGCTCACTGCAGCCTCCGACTCCTGCCTCAAGCGATCCTCCCGCCTCAGCCTCCCACACTGCTGGGGACACAGGCGTGACCCTCGCCCCACCAGGAGTGTGTTTTGTGGCTTTGCTTGAAGCCTCTGAGCTGCCAGCAGCGAGCAGCCACGTTTCCTGTCTCTGGGCAGCCGCTCTGCGCTGGGGCACGAGGCTCCGCTCCCCCGGGGAGGCCTCGCACCCAGGGCGTCGGAGACGCGGGCCTGGGCAGAGCCGCCCTCCGGCTTCCCGGCCCTGCTCGCGAGGTGCGAGCTCCCGGCCTGGCCTTGTCTCCTCGGCGGGTCCTGGGAGGAGGCCAGGCCGGCCACGTAGCCGAGGGCGCGGTGTGGCACCGCCCGCAGGTGCTCTGACGGGGCGTGACTTTCCTCCCAGGTGGCAGTAACGGTCCCTTTCTGTGTGGGAAGCAGACCACATTCGAAGGCGGGATGCGGGAGCCAGCCATTGCGTGGTGGCCGGGACA